GTCCGCCAGCGCCGGGACTCCGGGGGTTCCCAGGCTCCGCGTGTGTGCGGGGAAGGGCGACCCCGCGGGCGGTTGGAGCCGGACCTTCGCCCGCCGCGGGCCCTGCGGGGCTGGTCCGGCCACACTTCCCCGCGCGTCCCCATACTCCCGACTCTGACCGCGCACGCGGGCGCCTCTCCCCGCCCAGGACTGCTCGGCTGGAGTGAGCGCGCTTCCTTCCGCTGGGGGTCCCGTCCGCCGAGGCCCCTGGATGGGCGAGGGCAGGCCGGGGCCGCACCCCGCACCCCTCCAGGGGAAGGCACTTGTGGCCCGCCGGGGCTCAGTGTGCGCGCCAGGGCCCCTCGCCCGCACCCCGCCCCCACGACCCGGTTCCAGAGCCAGGACCCAGGCTGCACTCCTGCAGGTCCTGGGGCTTCGCCGGCGCTCGGGGCGGTAAACGCAAGGACAATGGGCGTCAGGGTGGAGGAGCCAGGCGCCGCCGGTTCGGAGCCTCGGGCCGCGCCCCCGAGCGGACCACGGCCCCGCCGCCTCCCCAGCCCCGGGTGCGAGGCTGAGAGCGCGCTGGAGCAGGGGTGGCAGAAGGCGTGTCACGGGGGAGGGGGACAAGACAGCGGAACAGTCAAGGCAGAGGTTCGCAGAGAGCTGGAGGCGGGAGATGATGAGGGGAGTGGCGCCGGGCGCGCAGGCGAGGGGATCGCCGTTGTCCTGGATGGAGGGCGAGCGAGGTGAGGACCGCGGATCCGGGGCCGAGGCGGGTGGGCGAGATGTCGCGCCAGGGGCACCGGCTACTCGGGCGCCACCCGGGTCGGACACAGCTCCTCGCGGCCCTGCGCGCGGGGCTTGGGCGCCACGGTCCACCGCGTGCGCACCGAGCCTTTGTCTGCGGCTCGCTGGGAACCGCGCTTCCGCGGCGCCTTCTCCCGGCAGACGACAGCGCTGGCCCGCTGTGCAGGCTTCCTGCTCGCGTCCGCCGCTCACGCCCTGGCCCCGGCCCCCCTCGTGGCCGGAACTTGTCCGGGTGCCTTTGGGGCGCAGCCCGGGGCGTGTGAACGTGTCGCGCGAGCTCGCCTCTGGGGCGCGGGTCGGTCCAGGGCAGCCGCGTGGCCCAGCGGCCTGTCACACACTCGCGCGCGGGCTCCAGCCCCGGTCTCTGCTCCTACTTGCAGGTCGACTCGGTCTGCTGGGCGTGGGCCCTGGACTCCTAGCTGACCGCCGGTCCGGTAGCCTCCGGCAGTCAGAGGGACACAGCGGCCCCCAGGGTCTGCCTCCCCGGCCCACCGGCAGCGGTGGTGCGTCCCTAGAAGCCGCAGCTGAGGAGGGGTGTGCGCGGGGGCTCTCCCGCTGCCTTTGGCCGTGTTAGCAGTGGACATTTTCACCTACTGAGACAGAGCCTCGGTGGCCAGGGGGGGTCGGGGGAAGGTGGGGGCGAGCGCGGAGCCTCAGCCAGATCTGACTGGGCCGGGTCAGCCTCAGGCCTGCCTAGGGCCGGTTCTGGTCCACTTTCTTCCTCCCACACTTGTGAATTCTTCCTTTGAAAAATAAGCATCTACTTCTTACAGTTGTCAGCTGGTGGAGTGGGGGGCTGAACGCTGCCACCCCTCGCCTGTGACAGCATTGTTTTGGGACAGGGTATAGGCATCGGGATAGGACCTGTTTTCCTAGAGTGACGAAGTTTCTGTTAGTATGTCGTTACTGCTGTTTGTGTGCTGGGGGGCAGAATTCAGGCTAGCAGACCAGGTAGATGACGTCACCCCAGGACAGTCCCCAGCAGGCTTTCCCTCTGAGAGGATGGAGAACCTGGAGAGGAAGGCCATGGGGAGGGCCCCTGTGCAGGGAGGCCCCGGAGGAAGAAGCCCAGTGATGGTGAATTCAGTTTGTGGGTCCCCCACCCCAACCAAGTCGGTAGGGGGTAGCCTGGCATCTTAATAGAAATAGACTGTTACCAAGGTAGCGAGTACACAGGCACTTTTAAACAAAATCTGTTGTTAGCCCCGCCTCACCCCAGAGTGGGATGGAGCTCGAGGGTGACTGAGGCCGTAGCCAGTTTCTGCTGTGACACTCCAGTCTCGGGATCTCTGTTTCCGTCCAGTGCTGCGTGACAGGCCACACTGGTCTGAATTGCTGAAGTACCCGAAGCTTGGCAGACTCTAAAAATATTTGTCAGTAAAGATGATCCTTTTTGAACAAAAAACGTTCCGTAAGAATGTACAAGTACCCACACGCTGACAGGTGTGCCTTACTTGTCGCACGTTCATTCCCTTTGCCCCGTTCAGTCGGATCTCTTGGTCTCTCCGGCGAGTTGCGAGGTAAAGGCTGCCGGGCTCAGTGCTGGTGTCTAGGAAGCGCCCGCTTCACCGTGTTCATCGTCCAAAGACAAATCACGCGTTGCGGGTCCACTGCCCCCGTTCTGCTCCCGTCCGTTTCGGCTCTGTACTCGGCCCCCGCCGGTCCGCTGCTTCACTCAGCCACACACGGAACAACGCATGAAAGGCGCTGCCCCTTGCCGGGCGCTGCCCTGGCCAGGCCTTTGCTCCGGGGGCGTCCATGCCCAGTCCGAGAGAGCCCCCCAGAGCGGGGTGCTTGCTGATGCCCAGCGCTGCAGGGTCCGCGTGCCCGTCAGGTCACTCCTGACTTCCGCTCCTCCCGCCATCTGTCTTTGATTGCTGACCTCTGAACTCATAAGAAAGTGGCCGATCGGAACACAAGCTCTGCTCAGGAAGGCCTCCGGGAGGGAACGCGGGGTCCACTTTGCCGTCACAGGAGTCCACTTTGCCATGGGGGGGTGTGCACGTGTGTACAGAGGAAAGCCGAGAAGTCACTCGTGGAGGCCAGTGTGAGCCGCGTTCACACTTCACCTTGTCGCACTTGGTGCCGGTGTGGGAAGGACAGGAGATGCACACGCCAACGGAAAAGGCTTGGGGCGGAGGCCAGAACATTCCAGGCGGCGTGTGTGGCTCCCCAGTGGGCCGCTCGGAGTGAGGCGGAGGGCTGTGGGAAAGAGCACGGTTGGCTGAGGAGGGCACAGGGGCAGCAGCAGAGTGAGAGCAGACGGGCGGCTGCAGACCGCACGCGCTCCCCCGACTCCCGTTTGTCGTGTGTTTCTCTGATATTCAAAACAAAACGCGCTTGTTTCCAGGAATTGTGGATTTTAAATATACTTAACATCCGTCACCTTTGCTCTGTTTCTTGAGACTTAAGACACTGTGTGGCCAACACTTGAACGGACCGAGATAATAAATATGACCCATTTTCCGAGCAACTGTGTTTAACACCTGGAAGTTACACTAAACTAAACGTATAACTCGTTTTTATGGGTCTGGTGAGATTGAGGTTGCCGAGGGGTGTAGAGGTTGCAAGGCCAAGGCCAGCGAGAGAAATGGGTGTAAACCAGTTAGCAGCCCGCTGGCAGGCGACAGTCCCGCACCTGTTCAGTACAGACTGTTTGAGCAAGATGTAAATGACGACTCGCCCCTCGGAAGACCTGAAGTATGGACGTGGGCACCCACCGAGGGAGCCGCTGTGCCAGGCCAGGAGTGTAGGTCCTGAGCTGACCAGGTGTCACCGGAGATATCAGTGACCGTTTTGGCTGGGGTCAGCACCACGAGGGTCTGACGTCCAAAAGGCAAGTTGTTTGAATTGGGTGGAGCTATTTAGATTCGTTACTATTAATTTCACTTTTCATTTAATTAAAGAAAAGGAAGAAAACCTGCACGAACAAAGACAACCCCCGAAAGCTTAAATGAGAAGCGGTGGGAACAGTGTAAGACGGTGGCTTCTGTCATCTCCACCTCACGTATTAACCTTAGATGATTTTCCACTTGAAACGTTTTCTGCTGCATTAGAAAAAAACAAACAAAAAAGAAATGCAGTGCAGGGCCGTGCTGTGCTGTGCGGCGTGGCGCCCACAGCCGACATGTCCGGAAGCCGCCGAGAAGCTCGGCCTTAAACGTCCCCGTCAGAAGAAGAAAATGCGTTGCACTAGGTAATGAAGCAAATTCCAAGACTTTGTTTGCTATACAGCAGGCCGAACACGGCGTGGTGAACGTTTCACCAATTAATACGTTGTTAGTTTCTGTTCAAAAACAGCTCGTGCCGTGCGACAGGGAAGAAAAGATAATTTTCGTGGAAAAGAAAGATCGTCTCCCTTCAAAGGCAAACTCTCAGTTATAATCCAGAATTAAAATGTAAGTCGAGCTCCCCCAACTGATCCAAAGCGCCCCAGGGGAGCCACCAGTGGTGGGGACCTCGGGGTTTTACAGAGGACGCAGAAGGTGTCCGCAGCACTTACCAGCTTCTGGAACTGTCCTGCTCTCTCACTGGCCGCCTGGCTTCCTGCCGGCCCCCCCAGTGCAGGACGCAAGCTGCTTCAGGAGGGCCTGAGGGCCAGGCCTGTCTTTCTGGTGTCCTCCTGGGACTGCAGGGGTGGCTGACACTCGTGGAAGGTGCTCAGAATAGTTGTGTTGGAAATTCAGAGATGAAAACAAACACCCCCACCGCCATGGCCTTGTCTTTAAGGGACTCGAACCCGGGAGGCCACTCGCAGGCTTCCTCTGCCTTGGCCTGGGTCCCATGGAGCCAGGACTCAGGCGAGTGCCAGACGGCCAGTTCTGTGGAGCCCAAGGCAGCGGGACGCGGGGGACGCGGGGGACATGGGGGACACGGGAGGACACGGGCCCCGTGCGCCCTGCCTGAGGCCCTGGGAAGCTTTGCGGAGGAGCTGCCCCGAGGCTGAGGGCTCGTCCAGCCGGTGGGCCTGGGAGGAGAAGCCTGGGAAAGCCGGGCTGGGCCGGGCCAGTGGGGGCGCATCCAGAGGCAGCCACCAGAAACGGCCTGGGGTGGGAACTCAGGAGGGTGGTGGAGCCGGAGAGGGTTGTCCGGCTGGTGGTGAGGACCGTGTCATTAACCTTTACCATGAGTCCCTGAAGGACTCGGGCAGGTAAGGTGGAAAGGTAGGCAGGCCACCGTCCTCTGCGGAGCTGGGCTTTGGCGTGGCACGTGGTGGGGTGGGGGGCAGGACAGGTGGCTCCTTAGTTTCTGGATGGGAGGTCGGGAGTGTGTGTTGGGGGTGTGTGTGTTGGGTGTGTGTGTGTTGGGGGGTGTGGTGGCTCCACGTTCAGAGAACAGAAATATCAAAGTGGAAAGCAGTGGGCTGTGGCTCGGTCAGTTTGGGTGGGCTCTGAGGCCACCCTGGGTGGTGGCAGTGACCCCTGGGCTCCAGGTGACCCAGGGCAGCCAGCGGGGCGTCGTCAGGATAGGCGCCGCGGGCGGGCCGCGGAGGGAGGCTTGGGTTAGAGGAACAGAACCGACGGCCGGGGGGCCCACCGGAACCACGTGCGGGGTGCAGCCAGGAGGCAGATGGCCCGGTGAGGGCTTTGTAAGCCAAGGGAACGATGGCCTTTTACTCCGCGAGCAACCGGAAGCCACCGCGAGGCATTAAGCAGGTGGGCGAGGCGTGGTTTGTGACCCCAGAAGCTCGCTCTGGCCGCACTTTGGTGCGTGGATCTAGGGGGCTGTCGTGGAACCGGAGCACATGGAGGCCGCTGTGGCAGTCAGGACGGGACAGCGGCGACTTGGGTGCGGGTGACAATATCGGGAATGAAATGCAGCATGGGAGGTGTCCGGAGGCGGAGGCGGGGTGGATAAGCCCGCAGGCGGCCGGGGTTTGCGGAGGGGGCGTCAGCGCAGCGCG